AATTCACGAACGCGTATGAGTTGTGGACGAAATTAGAGTCCATGATTCAGAAGAAGACTCCCAGGAACAAAGCACACCTGGTTCGCCGACTTGTTAAGCTTGAATACAAGGATGGCATGAGCATGATTGAACACCTGAACACCTACAAAGGTATTGTGAATCAGCTGTCAAAGGCTGATATGAAAATTGATGAAGAACTGCAGGCATTGCTGCTGTTGAGCTTGCTGCCAGAAAGCTGGGATACTCTGGTGGTGACCCTGAATAACTCGACTCCGGATGGAAAATTGGAGATGGATGTCGTGACAGACAGCCTTCTGGGCGAAGAATCCAGGAGAAAAGAACGAGGTATTTCGAGTACGTCTGAGGCCAACGTTGCTGAGAACAAAGGGAAATCCGACTCCCGCGGTAGAAGCAAAAGCCGATGTAGAGGTCGTGACAGACGAGACAAGTCCAGAGGTCGGTCAAAGCCGAAATATGAGTTGAAGTGCTTTTACTGTGGAAAGACAGCCCATAAGAAGCCAGACTGTTGGACCCTACAGAATGATGAGAAGAACGGCTCTATGAAGCCGGATCAGATTATTCCCAAGAAGAGGAAAGACAAGAGCACCACTGCGGTGGCTGCCAACTCGGATGCCGAGATATTCCTCCTTGGTGAGGATAATTATTTGAATGTTGCATATGATGACTGCACCTGGATTGTTGACTCCGGTGCCTCCTTCCACGTTACTCCACACAAAGGTTTTTTCTCCTCTTATCGAGGTGGTGATTTTGGAGTCGTGAAGATGGGAAATCAAGTGACCAGCAAGATTGTTGGTGTCGGTGATGTAACTCTGACCACAGATGTCGGATGCCGACTTGTGTTGAAAGATGTAAGGCATGTTCCTGACATGCGTTTGAACCTAATCTCGGTAGGCAAACTTGATGATGTCGGGTTAGTAAACTACTTCGGTAGCGTGAGATGGAAGCTGGCCAAGGGAAACTTGGTCGTGGCCCGAGGTAAGAAGGAAGGCTCCTTGTACGTGATGCAAGGAAAGATCAATGGCGGAGAAGCCAATTCTGTTCGAGATGAACCTAGCTTGGAGCTATGGCACAAGCGCCTCGACCACATGAGCGAGAAAGGGCTACAGATCCTGAACAAGAAAGGATTACTGACCGGGTTGAAAGGCCAAGCGTTGGAGAGTTGCACGCACTGCCTAGCTGGAAAGCAGCACCGGGTTTCTTTTGTGAGACCGGATCAACCAAGACGACGCAGGAATATTCTTGACCTCGTCCATACTGATGTTTGCTCCATGTCGGAGAAATCTCTTGGAGGAGCTCAGTACTTTGTTTCATTTATAGATGACCATTCCCGCAAAGTGTGGGTATATTTGTTGAAGTCTAAAGACCAAGTACTCCAATCCTTTAAAGAATTCCATGCGATGGTTGAAAGGGAGACTGGCAAGAAATTGATGGTGGTCCGATCTGATAATGGTGGTGAGTATTGCGGCCCATTTGATGCATACTGCAGAGCGGCCGGGATTCGAATTGAGAAGACGCCCCCCAAGACACCTCAGCTGAATGGACTGGCTGAGCGGATGAACAGAGCTATTGAAGAAAAGGTCTGAAGCATGTTATCCAATGCCGGATTGCCAAAATCATTCTGGGGAGAAGCCGTCAAAACAACTGTTGATTTAATCAACCTCTCACCATCACAGCCACTTGAAGGAGAAATTCCAGAAGAAGTCTGGACAGGTCGAAAAGCGGCCTACAATCAACTGAAAGTGTTTGGATGCCGAGCTTTCGTGCATATCCCTAAAGATGAAAGGGCCAAACTTGATGCAAAGACCAAAGAATGCATTTATCTTGGTTCGCCGAGATGTGAGTTCGGGTTCCGACTTTGGGATCCAATCAATAAGAAGATCGTGAGAAGCCGAGATGTGATCTTTCATGAGCATGAGAACATTCATGACATCTCGAAGCCCAAAGCCCGGGTTACTGTCAGACGTGAAGAACCCATCCCTCCTGTCCGAGCTGAAGCAGGGGGAGAAAATCAAGAGAATGAAGAAATTGATGACCAGAAACAAGCTGAAGATGACCAAGACACTGAGGTCCGAGTTGAAGATGAGATCCGGGATGAAATTGATGAACCGGGTTCTCAAGCTGAGGAACAGCCGAGATATCCAACTCGAGAAAGAAGACCCTCTACAAGATACCCATCCGATGAATACACCGTTGTTGCTGAAGACGGTGAGCCTCAAAGTTATGATGAGGCTGTGACGAGCTCAGAGAAAGAAGAATGGGAAAAGGCAATGCAAGACGAGATGAAGTCTCTGCACGAGAATCAAACTTATGAGCTGACTGAGTTGCCAAAAGGAAGACGAGCTCTGAAGAATAAATGGGTCTACAAGATTAAGAATGAAGAGAACGGGAAAAAGCCGAGATACAAAGCTCGGATTGTAGTGAAATGCTGCAATCAGAAGAAAGGAGTTGATTTTGAGGAGATCTTTTCTCCTGTGGTGAAAATGACCTCGGTCCGAACTGTGTTAGCCATGGCGGCTTCAATGGACCTCGAGGTAGAACAAATGGACGTGAAGACGACATTTCTTCACGGTGACTTAGAAGAAGAGATATATATGGAGCAACCTGAAGGGTTCCAAGCTCCAAACCAAGAAGGCTTGGTATGTCGGTTGAAGAAGAGTCTCTATGGCTTGAATCAAGCACCTCGGAAGTGGTACAAGAAATTTGAATCATTCATGATTGATCATAAGTTTGAGAAGACTGAAGCCGACCACTGCGTATTTGTGAAGAGGTATGAGACTGGAGATTTTCTGATATTGTTGTTATATGTTGACGACATGCTTATTGTAGGGAAAGATAAATCGAGGATAGCCGCCCTGAAAAAGGCATTAAGCTCGTCCTTCGCAATGAAGGACCTCGGCCCTGCAAAGCAGATTCTCGGAATAAAGATTATCCGAGATAGACAGAAGAAGCTACTATGGCTGAGTCAAGAGAAATATATTGAGAAGATTCTGAAGAGATTCAGCATGGACAAAGCCAAAACAGTGAGCACCCCCCTAGCCGGACACATAAAGCTGAACCAAAAGCAATGTCCGAGATCTGATGATGACAAAGATGAGATGATGAAGGTCCCTTACCAATCCGCCGTCGGAAGCTTGATGTATGCAATGGTTTGCACTAGACCCGACTTGGCGTATGCTGTTGGAATGGTAAGCCGGTATTTGTCAAACCCCGACAAAGAGCACTGGGAAGTAGTGAAGTGGATCTTCAAGTACCTTCGAGGTACGACCGACTTATGTCTCCGATTTGGAGAAGGCAAAGCCGAGTTGCAAGGCTACTCGGATTCTGATTTAGGGGGAGACGCCGACTCGAGGAAGTCGACTACAGGATATTTGATGAGATTTGTCGGAGGAGCTGTCTCTTGGCAATCAAGACTTCAGAAATGTGTTGCACTATCTACAACTGAGGCTGAGTACATTGCCGCTACTGAGGCAAGCAAAGAGATGTTGTGGATGAAGAAGTTCCTCATGGAACTCGGCCATGATCAAGACAAGTACGAGCTGGGTTGTGATAATCAAAGTGCAATCCATCTTGCGAAGAATTCAACCTATCATTCCCGCACTAAGCATATTGATGTGAGGTATCACTGGATCCGGGATGTGGTGGAAGGTGGTGAGCTCGAACTCGTCAAGGTGCACACTGACCAAAATTGGTCCGACATGATGACGAAGCCGGTTCCAGCAAGAAAATTTGAAGACTACTGTGAAGGAGCCGGATTGATGCTGAGGCCGACGCATTGAAGTCGGAGGGGGAGATTTGTTGGGCTTCCTCCTTCAATGCTAAGCCCAAGCCCATTTGAGGGGTTTCCTAAAAACCCTAACCCTAATTTCCACCTCCTCTATATATACTCATTGTTGTGGTTGGAGGCTAGGTTAGATTTGAAAAGGTCAGATTTGATAGCGCAAATTTGAGAGAATTATTTGATTGTTTGAGCAAAGCTTTATGCTTTGCATTTGAGAGATCTCTAGAGAGAGTTTGAGTGAAACATCTCTAGGGTAGTTTGATTATCACCATTGTTGGAGAGGTTGAGTTAACCACCACATTGGTGTATTTGATTATTTGTAACCATTATTTTCGTAGTGGATTTCTGATCTGGACTAGGTCCTGTGGGTTTTTACTTCTTCATTGGAGAAGGTTTTCCCACGTTAAATCTGGTTGTGTTCTTCTTCTCTCTCTCCTATTTTTCGTTTTGATTTTCCGCTGCGCTGTCCGACCTGGTGAAGTTCAGGCCGAGGTATTGCCGAGATCCGAGATTAGGATCTTGCTGACTGACTTCCACACAAAGGCCCCTGAGCCGATCTGAGGGAACCGAGTTTTTTCCCAACAAAATGGTCCAAAGTGGTGGGCCATGTCAATTGGTATCTCACTCGAGATGAGACCCGATATAGTACTCAAACTCAGTTATGATAACTTGCCAACAAGATTGAAGACATGCTTTCTATATCTTGGGATATTCCCCAAAGACTTTGAAATTCCTGTTAGGCCACTGTTGGAAAAGTGGGTTGCTGAAGGATTTATAGAGGAAACAGGGACTAGAGATCCAGATGATGTTGTGGAAGACTACCTGTACGAGCTCATTGATCATAGTTTGGTCCAAGTAGCCTTTCAATTATTTACCCGGGTACACCCCTCCCTACCCGGGTAAATAATTCAAACAATTTCTCAGGTGTCAAGAAAAATATCCGGGTACACTCCTCTCTACCCGAGTAGGCAAAAAATTTCAAAAAATACTCGGGTAGGCTTGGTGGTCAACGGTCAAACAGGGGCAGATTGGTGTTATGTTTTTGGAGGGGGTTAAATTTTTGAAATAGTTTATAATGAAGATCAATTTGATAATTAATTATTAATAAAAGGTTATAAGGGTCAAAAAGCACCTACATGATAGATAGCCGTTCCAAGTAAACACACGCATATCAAAAAATAAAGAAGTGAGTTAAACGTACCACGTTAGCATCTTTGGCAAGTCTAGAACAAATAGCACCGCTTGAATTTTGGTCCTGGTCAAACCACCCAACTTCAAAAGTGAGTATCTTATAAAGCATAGCCTCTCTGACCCGTTTGGTCAAATACTCTCCCATGTAAGCAAAGCTATAATGTTGTCCAATATTAACAACAAAAGAGAACACAGCAAGACCCAAAAAGCAAAGCGAATACACCCTCGTCTTATTTTTTATCTCCTCATGATCCGTGTTAAAATACACTAATATCATGGACCCCACCACGAATGCATAAACAGGTTGAACCGCACCGAATAGCATCGCATTCAAACACCCCATAACTGCATGCTTCCATTCTGGAGCATTCAGTGCAAGCAATCTCTTAAATGATGGCACTTGAACTCTCTTCTCTTCTGCAATAACTGAGTTGGTGGGGCCTACAAGGTTGTTGTTATTGTTGTTGTTGTGGATGTCTGGGACAGTAGAAGTGGTTGAGACGGTTAGAGGAGTAACGGATTCTGTTTCTTCTGTTTTGGATAATTTGAGTGTTTGTTGGAGACGAACCATGGAGTTGTAGAGGCCGTTTTCGTTTTGGATGAGTTCGTTATGTGAACCTGTCTCTATGACCTTTCCGCGTTTCATGACGGCGATGACGTCGGCGTTTTGAATGGTGGATAAGCGGTGAGCGATGATGATGGCGGTGCAACCCATGGCTGCGTTGTCGAGTGCTTCTTGGACGAGTCGTTCAGACTCGGTGTCTAGTGCACTGGTTGCTTCATCTAGGAGAAGGATTCGAGGTTTCTTAATCATTGCTCGTGCAATTGCTATCCTCTGTTTTTGTCCCCCTGACATTTGAATCCCTCTCTCTCCAACCTGCACATGCAATTATTAAGAAAAAAAAAAAAAAGAAAACTCTTAATTTGGTATGATTTTTGCATTATAAGAGGGCAAGGATATTCAAATTCGGAAAATAATTTTTTCTTTCTTTCAAATATGCAAAGTTAACACGGCAACTAAGTGCCCGTTAGAAATAAGAAATAAGCATAAGCTAGGCCAAACAGTTTTGAAAAAAAACTCTTATAACGAAAAATTCTTTTTTTATAATGAAAAAAAAGCTGAAAATTAAAAGTTTCTAGGAGGAGCTTTTTTTTAAGCTCTTATCTGTTTTTCTTGAATTGTGTGTTTTTTTTTAAATGAAGAGTGATAAAGATAGATAGAGAAATAATTTTCTTGAATATGTGTTTTTAACTAATTTTTAAGCCAAAATTTTTATGTAATTTCCAAACAGCTTTTAACTTCTTTTTTTAACCTTTTTTTTTAGCTTTAGTTTATAAGTAGCTTCTAGCTTAAAAATAAGAGGATCCAAACAGGCTCCACAGTCCTCACGTACTCGATGGGAAGTGGTGATATGACTTCTGCATTATTTGTGTTCTCTTATAAAATCTTAAGGTTAAGCTAGACATAATGGACTAATAGATTGATCTATGATCTTAAAAAGAGTGAGCAGATATGGTTTATGTCTCCAATGTGGCTTGTTCAAGGAGCTTTTAGTTATGTTCCGCCAATTGTTAAAAAAATATATAATAAAGAGTTTTATAAGAGTTACTTTGTAGGAAAAGTGATTATGTAATGTTAAAGAGATTCGTTTTGCGTGTCATAATTTTTTCTTTTTCTTTTTTCTTCAAAAAGTGTGAGTCCCACAAAATATTGCGTGTGTAGAAAAATTTGTTGTGTCATGTTAAATGACAAATGCAAACCTATAATAAAATCATTCTATGTGTTTTCAGCTAAGTTTTTGAGAGAATTAGTTACTTGACATAATATCATGGAACCAGCATATTTGAGAGAATGTAAATGGCCAAAAGTCCATTCCTTTGGATAAGAACATGTATATGTAGGTGGTTACACAAAGATGAGAGATGTGATGTGACATTTGGTCCCAAAGTGAGAGTGAAATATGCAGGACACAAAGTCAAAATCATCTTTTAAATATTCTAAATTCAGTTTGGAATTTGAGCTTCTACGTCCTTTCTTTCTAGAGGAGGAGAGCATTGATGCATTTTAGTGCACCGGATGCACTTAATTTCAGTGTATCGGATGCATTGAAGTTTTTTCTCTTCGATATAATACAAAGCTGTACGTGATACACTTTTATTGATTTAATATACTTGCATCATAGTACAATAGATTTTTCGCTAGTGGAGGTAAGATTTTTTAGAATCTAATACATTATCCTTAGTCCATGTTGATACCACTAAATAAATCAACAACTCTTAGGTAAGAGTACATGTCTATGCATATTGATGTACTTAGGGTGTCATTGGCAAATATACTACTACCCAGGAAAAAAAAAGTATAGTATATTTGTCATACTAACCTGTGTATGGTAACCCTGAGGGAGCAGTGAAATGAAATTATGAGCATTGGAAGCTTTTGAAGCCTCAACAACCTCATCCTCTGTGGCATCCTCCTTACCAAAAAGTATGTTCTCTTTAATGCTGGTTGCAAATAGAGCAGGCTCTTGGCTAACCAAACCCATCTGTGACCTAAGCCACTTGAGCTGCAACTTATGAATAGCCACCCCATCAAGACGTATCTCTCCCCCAAGTGGGTCATAAAATCTCTGCAAAAGTTGTATAACAGTTGATTTTCCTGAGCCACTCTCACCCACCAAGGCCACTGTCTTGCATGCAGGAATCGTAAGGCATAAATCATTAAGGATAATGCTGTCTGGTCTTGATGGGTAAGCAAATTCAACATGGTCAAATTCCACTTCCCCAGAAACGTTTTCAAGAATCTCCCCAACCATATTGTCAGAATCAATCTTTGGAACTCTTTTTATCACTCCCTTTATACGTTCCCCTGCCAAACTTGCTTCAGAGAAGTACTTCACATTGGATAAACAAGCTCCTAACCCTCTATTTCACACAAAAAGAAGAACTTAATTAGTATACAAATTGTTGATATTTTGAGCTGAAAATGAATGAAATAAAGGGTAGGTAGATAGATATATTTACAATCCACCAACAGATATGGCTGCTCCAACTGCGAAAACTGTTCCTCCTTTAGCGCCATGGTAAATGACCATTCTGCTACCATAATAGCACATGAAAGACCACATAATGAAAACAATACCGTTGCTTCCAATGGCTAAACCTTTAGCTAAGCCTTGTTTCAACCCCAACTTAACAGTCCCTCTTAGAGCATTAGAGAAAGCAGTTATGGTCTTGTTTTCTCCCACAAATGAATAAACGGTTCTGATGGAAGATATTGTTTGTTCTGCTACTATACCAGCTTGATTATACTCTTCTCTGATCTTGCTACCCAATCCCATCAAAGTTTTCCCATAAATTATACCAGGGATCAATAGAAGAACCACAAAAGGAAACCCCAAAATAGCCAATCTCCACATCATTGCAAAAGCCGCTATGTAACTCCCAACGAATGTAGAAAAGTTCATCAAGAAATTTGGTACCTAGTTTTCATGTCACAATATGTAATTTATGTTAAAAATAAATTGTGAGAACTCTGAAAAATTATAATAAAAAAAAAACTCCACATTAAATCCCAACTATCCTCACATATTTGTAAAGAGGTAATTCCTCATATCCAAATCCAGATTCAAACTTGTGACCTTTCAGTGACAAACAAGCAACTTATAAATTTGGAATCAAATTTGTGATCTTTCAGTCACAAATGCTACTATTTCAGATATCGGATGAGATCTTTCAGTCATAAATAAGCAGGTTTGCCACTATTACAGGAAATCCGGATTCAAACCCGTGACTTACAAATGAGTAATTTTGCCACTACTTGAGGCTTGCCGATAGAAAAATTATAATAAGATTAAAATCAAATGAAGGTGATTTTGGTAACATCTATCACCTTCTCACTAAGAACATCTTGAATTATGAGGCTGTCATTGGAGACGCTAGTGATGATCTCTGATGTACTCGTGACATGCAAATCAAAGTATGCAACTTCTTGTCTGAGAACAGCTTTTAGATACCTATATCTCATTCTCGCAGCTTGTCTTTCACTTGTTCTTGTCCAACAATAACCCTCTGCAATTAAGTCCAAAAATAAAAGTAAGAGACTACAATAGTACTTTTGCTTCATGTAAATGAAAAGAGGAAAATAACATCAAAATCATAGAAAAAAACTAAAACTAACCGAGGAAGCAAACAATAAAAGACCAACCAGCCAAACATAACCAAGCCACTGAATTCTGCGTCACAAATAAAACCAAAACCTTGTAAGCTACTCTTAATTGCATGCATGTTCTCTTTGAGTGTTTAATAGTGTTGAGAAAGAGAGAGAACCTTATTGATGTTATGGATGAAAGTGTTTCCTTCCATGGAAGATGAACTCCCAATATTATTCATCATGAGGCTACTTATATACAACGCTAGAGGGGTGGTCAAGCCTTCACCAATTGCCCCAAAGATACCGAAAACCATAAGAAACCAATCATGGCCATCAGCATGCATGAAAATGGACCCAATAGACCCATTTTTCTTCTTCATCTTCTTCTTTTCCTGATTAACCATGGCTACACTTTTCTGATCCCCACTCATTTTCACACATCCTTTTCTTGAGAAACAAACAACAGCAAGATTCGCAGACCCACTTGACTAAGAGTGGTTTTTATGCCTTATTTGGCTTGCTTCCAAAACCAGCTTTGTTTCTTGGCCTTAAAACTATGTGACATTCTTATGAATTAATAGGAATCAGTGTGTATGTGTGTGCTATTGCATGCGCTTTATAGGGTCAGGGTTGGGGAATCGGTGATGGCATGTAGAGAGGGTTATTGTGTTTGAGGATGGAGGAACATCTGATATAAGGGGAATTTGCTCCTGTTTAACTCTATAATTATCTCTGCAAAAGCATCATGAATTTTTGACAGCCATATATACAACTTTTAAAAGCATTTTTTTTTCTCATTTTATTCCACTTTCTAGATTATTTGTTTAGATATGTCACTTTTTCTGCTTTTGTTGACAAGATTCTTTCTTTTCATAAAGAATAGGTGAATTCTTGCTTTTTTCTTTTAAATTTTAGTACGTCAATATTATATATATATATATATATATATCTGAAAAATATTTTCTCATATTGCATAAGAACTAAATTCTCATAATGTGACCTTTCGATTTGCATGGAAAATTTTTCTTTTCTTTTTTTAATAAATATGGGGCTCACCACTAGTTGAGTCACAACATGAGAATTCAATTCTTATGCAACATAAAAAAAATCAAACCCCATATATATATATATATATATATATATATATATATATATATATATATATAGGGCATGATATTCTTACACCACCGGTGTAAGAGTTAGAAGTCTTACACTTAATCTTAATCATTGATCCACTTGTATCCAATGGCTCACATTATTAAAAAATTTGAGCCCTTATATATAAGTGAGATCAGCGGACAAGATTGAGAGTGTAACTTGCACTGGTGTAAAATGATCCTGACGTATATATATATATATAAGGAAAAGTGTGTTATTTGTTTTTTTGAAAACAAGTGTGTGTTATTTTAAATAACACAAGTTATGTCATTTCATAGACAGAGGGAAGCATGAGTCCCACTGAAAAATAAAGACAAAGATAAATAAATAAAGGTGTGGGTCTCATGTCTTTGTGTCTATGAAATTTCATGACTTGTGTTATATAAAATGACATATACTTTCTATATATATATATATATATATATATATATATAAAAGGAAAAGTGTGTTATTATTTTTTTTTTGAAAACAAGTGTGTGTTATTTTAAATAACACAAGTTATGTCATTTCATAGACAGAGGGAAGCATGAGTCCCACTGAAAAATAAAGACAAAAATAAATAAATAAAGGTGTGAGTCTCATGTCTTTGTGTCTATGAAATTTCATGACTTGTGTTATTTAAAATGACATATACTTTATATATATATATATATATATATATATATATATATATGTGGACATAATTCTTTAACACCGGTGTCAAATTTAAAAGTTTGACATCAAGTTCTAACTATTGATTTCCGTCAATTTGATGTTTATAATTTATTAAAAATTATTAATTAGATAATAAGTGTGACGCAATAAATTATAACCATTATAGTGACTGGAGGGTGCTAAATGAATGAGGGACGTTTGGCCCAGCTCGTGAAAACCTAGACTTACATGTCTAAAATTAGTTGTTGGAAGCCGGACTTTAGAACCTCTCAGGCTGGCCTAGTATACTAACTTTTATTTTTATTTTATATTTTTTATATTACTCATAATAGCTCTCTCTCTCCTCAACTCATTTCACCCTATTTTATTAGTTAAACAGACTTTTTCAATGATTTTGTTCTATATTATGCTATTTGGATATACGTTGAATTTATGAATCTTTGTAGAATTATTAGTGTTGTTGATCGTATATTCTGTTTGGATAAAAAAAATTTCTTAATTTTTTTTACAGGCTAAACCAGTCTTTTATTTTTGGGAAAAGTATTTCTCCAGTCACTGGAGATCAAGTTATCTCCAGTGAGCTCAAAACTACATCGTTTTTGGTTATAAAATTAAAAAATTATAATGATAAAGACTAATATAACCCTGTAATATATCAGAATTACAAAAACACCTTGACTTTTGTCCCAAAATGACGTCGTTTTAGATTCACCGGAGATAACTTATCTCCATTGACTGGAGAAATCCTTTACCCTTTATTTTTTGTAAATAAGTCAGGCCACATGCCGATAATTATATTTATAATAGGTAACAGGTTAGGCGATACATCACATTTAAACACAGACTTATTCTCTTGAGAACAAAGCCCGGCATGGCTCGACCAGTTAACATCCCTAATTGACGAAAAATCAACAGTTAAACTTTTGAGTTTAACATAAATGTCAAATAATTATGCATTTATATATATATATATATATATATATATATATATATATATATATATATATATATATAGGGTCAGGATCATTTTATACCGGTGTAAGTTACACTCTCAATCTTGTCCATTGATCCCAATTATATCTAAGGGCTCTAATTTTTTAATAATGTGAGTCATTAGATACAAGTGGATCAATGGTCAAGATTGGGTGTAAGCCTTCTAACTCTTACACCGGTGTAAGAATATATCGCCCCGTATATATATATATATATATATATATATATATATATATATATATATATATATATATATATATATATATGGGAGTGGTTATAGTTACTATCTATTTTTCTTACTATCTCTTACTACCAAATCTTAACCGTTGATTTTCGTCAATCTAACGGTTAATAATTTATTGGAAATTAATAATTAATTAATAAATATGACCCAATAAATTACATCCTTTAGATTGACGGAAATAAACGGTTAAGATTTGGTAGTAAGAGATAATCTTAATTGTTGATTTTCGTCAATCTAACGGTTATAATTTATTGGAAATTAATAATTAATTAATAAATATGACCCAATAAATTATAACCTTTAGATTGACGGATATGGTTAAGATTGTGTAGTAAGAGATAGTAAAAAAAAGAGATAATAACTATAACCTCCCCTATATATATATTGCATACATATGTATATATATATATATATATGTATATATTGTTATAAATAATTTATTGGTTGTCCATATCCGTTATATAACCGTTATGACTGTTGGAGACGTTATGGCCGTTGGAGACGTTATGGCTGTTGGAGATATTATGACCGTTGGAGATATTATGATCGTTGGAGAATAATTTCAGTTCTTGTAACTTTCATTTTCTCGAGCCTATAAATAAGGCATCGTTGTAGTGTGACAATACAACCAAAATACATTCTCTTATCTCTATATTGTAATTCTTATTCTTCTAATTCTTAATAATTTTGCAACACGTTATCAGCATGAAAGCTCTGAAGTGATCTTGCAATCCGCCACTTACTGCTTCATCGATGCCGCTGCCACCAGGTTTTCATGAATTCCTCATCCAAATTGGTTTTTGTTGTTTTCAGTTTATATGATTCAAATGAAATCGTAGTTGCATATGCGTTTTGGATTTTTGATATTTCCTTCTTCTTCTTTTTCATTATTTCTGGATCTTGATGTTTTATTGGTTTTGAAAGTTAGCTAGATTGATGAATTCCTTGGATTTATTCAAAGTTTTTGAATAAAAAAATAAAAAAATGAATTTATTTCTTTTTAATTTTAAATATAGTTGATAATTGTTACATTCAAATTTATGATATAAGATTACCGTTATTAGAATATTTAAAATATTATTGTACTAAATATTGTCTTATTTATACATTTTGTACATCTTGTGTACAAAATAAAATTTATTTTAACCCTTCTTTTTCTTTTATAGTAGACAACATCATGTCAAATCTTGCAAAACTTGAATTTGCTGCTCTTGATATAACGGGCAAAAATTGTTTGGTATGAGTCCTTGATGCTGAAATTCACCTTGATGTTAAAGGTCTTGGGCATATAATTATGAAAGAAAAGGAAGCATCCAAACAAGATAAGGCAAAGACCATGATTTTCCTTCGTCATCATCTCCGTGAAGGTTTAAAAGCTGAATATTTGACTGTGAAAAATCCACTTGAATTGTGGGATAATTTAAAAGAAAGATACGACCATCAAAAGATGGTCATTTTGCCTAAAGCTCGCTATGATTGGGTGCATTTGAGATTGCATGATTTTAAATCTATAAGCGAGTACAATTCTGCAATTTTTAAAATTAGTTCTCAGTTAAAGTTATGTGGAGAAAATATTCCGATGAGGACTTATTGGAAAAAACATTTTCCATTTTTCATGCTTCAAATATGTTGTTGCAACAATAGTACCATGAAAGGGGCTTTAAGAAATATTCTGAATTAATATCATGTCTCCTTGTGGCTGAGCAAAATAATGAGCTACTAATGAAAAATCATGAAGCTCGTCCCATTCCCTGAAGCGAATGCAACAACTCATAATAAGTTTGAAAGGAGACAAACTTATAGTCGTGGCCATGGACGCGGACGCGGTCACGAACGTGGGCGTGGGCGAGGCAAGGGGCCAAATATTTATAGGCACCATTATGGAAATAAACAAGAGAATAATAAAGGCCCTCAAAGTAACTCTTCAAGGAGTAAAGAAAATATCTACTATCGATATGGTATGAAAGGCCATTGGTCACGAATCTGTCGTACTCCAGAACATTTTGTTAAGTTTTATCAAGCCTCAATCAAGAAGAAAGAAAATAATGTGGAAACAAATTTGACCTTCGAAAATGATACTGATATTATAAAGAGGATGATTTTATAAAGAGGATGATTTTGCTTATAAAGAGGATGATTTTGCTGGCCTCACTGATATTACACATCTGGATGTTGCAGACTTCTTTGAAGATAATAACTTATTTATTTAATTAGCTTGTTTCTTTTTAATGTAATTCTTCCTTTAGTCTTATTTCTTTTCCTTTACATATATGTTGATGCATTTTATTCTAATGAAGAACATGGATATTCATGATATTTATTGTTTCTTTTAAATGTATTTATTTTATGTTCTTTTAATTTTATTTTTTTCATCTACAAGATTTTTAATTATTTTATTTTATTTTATTGATATTCCTCTTATTTGATAATGGAAGAAGGCAATGTTAACATAATAAACGATAGTACAAAATTGATTTATCAAAAAATGGCATGACTGGTTGACCATCCCGGATCAAATGTGATGTGAAAAATTATTGAAAATTATTATGATCATACATTGAAGAACCAGAAGATTCTTCTTGTACTGCTAGTTCTCAAGAGAAATTATCACTGGCTAAAGTTGAGATTCAATCTCTTACATTTTTAAAATACATATAGGGTGAAATATATGGGCCCATTCGCCCATCATGTGGACCTTTCAAATATTATGAAATTAATAGATGCATCTACAAAATGGCCACATGTAACTCACATCTTGATATTTAATGAGGTTGTTTGCTTAAATGATAATATTAAGAGAACAATTCCTATGTTATATAATAAAGACAATTCTTCTTCACAATGCTAGTGAATTTAGATGTCTCCAATTGATTGCTAGAATATTGCTTATGAGAACAAAACTCCCTATTCTTGCATGGGGATATACTATATCTTATGCGCGTTATGCCAATAAGTTATCATCTCCCATTACATTGGCTTATGGTCAGGAGCCAAATAATTTTTAGATGTGCGATTTATATTCTAATTACTCCACCACAAGGCACAAAAATGAATCCCAAATATGGCTGAGAATATATGTTGGATATGAATCTCCTTAAATAATATATTGAAATAATGACTCGAGATTTAGTGAATTATTGTTATCAGTCTTTCCAACATGAGGGGGAGGGAATAAACAGTTGGAAATATATAGTGCATTATTATCTCATATAGATCCTCGCACAAAGCAAATATGAGAAAATGATATTATACATTGACTGCCAAATGGTTTAACTGACCAGTAAGTCTAATATTCCAACTGGAAATGCTCCAATTCATATTGCACATGAAAAATGATTGGTTCTAAGGATAAAAATCCTCCAAAAGAGGAAAGGAGCAAATGATTAAGATGGTCATAAATGGAGAACATTTTTAATCATGAAGACATAACTTTGATTAAACCTCAAGGGAGGTTCAGATACCTGAAAATAATGAAAACAAAGAGATCTCTAGTAGTTATGTCATTACAGGAAAACGTTGAAACCATAAAGATATAGTTGTCGACAACATTTTGCATAAAATGAAATATGAAACAAGACGAGGATCTTGATGAAGATTGGCCAAAATATAAAGACGCAATTCAAATTTAAAGTTTTTGGACCTATAGTGCAAACACGAAGGTGTAATGCCAGTGGGGTACAAATGTGCAAAAATTATAATGAAATTGTTGTAGCACAAGAATTTTGCTAAAGTCTGGCATCTATTATATTTTCTTGTGGTGGATGAAATCACCTTCAGATATTTTAATAATCTGGCAGTACATGAAAAGGTTGACATGCGTCTAATAGATGTTATTATAACCTATTTATATGGCTTATTCAATTGACAGTGAAATATATATGAAAATCCTAGAAGGATCCAAAATGCTTAAAGCATATAAAAATTCCCGAAAAATTCGTTGAATGGAGCTTCAAATATCATTAATAGATTAAAGCAATAAAGGCTTTTAATGCAGGATCCACACAAAGCTAGATTTCAGACAGGATATTTATTCACAAGTAGAAGCACGACATGGGATAATAGCAATTCATGAAGAAAGTCAAGAATGTGTTTGATCAAGTTCAATGACGCAACACATTCGAAAAGAATGTGATTCTTAGAAAAAGAGAATCCAACAATATTGCATGAAGATAATGCTGCTTGCATAACTCAATTAAGTGGAAGATACATCAAAGGAGACATAACGAAGCATATATCATCAACATTCTTCTTCACTCATGATCTTCAACAAAATGGTGAAATTGATGTTCAACAAATTCGTTCAATTTGGCAGATTTATTTACGACATTACCTACTTCAAGTTTTGAGAATACAAGATCGGGATGTGTAAACTCAGAGATATTAAATAATGTTATCATCAGGGGGAGTGAAATATGTGTTGCACTCTTTTTTCCTTCACCATGGTTTTGTCCCATTGGGTTTTCCTGGTGAGGTTTTTAATGAGGCAGCTTCTAATACATATTTCTTCTCAATAGGATTATTGGACTTCCAAGAGGGAGTGTTATAAATAATTGGTTGTCCATATCCGTTATATAACCGTTATGACTATTGGAGACGTTATGGATGTTGGAGACGTTATGGCTGTTGGAGATATTATGACCGTTGGAGAATAATTTCAGTTATTGTAACTTTCATTTTCTCGAGCCTATAAATAAGGCATCATTGTAGTTTGACAATACAACCAGAATACATTCTCTTATCTCTATATTCTAATTCTTATTCTTTTAATTCTTAGTAATTTTACAATATATATATAGGGGATGAATCATTTGACTCCAAAGTTAGACTTAAAACTCTTACTTCTCATCCCAGCCGTTAATTTATGTCCATCTAACGGTTATGGTTTAATAAGTTATAAAAATTAATTAATTATTAATTTGAAATAAATGATAACCGTTAGATAAACGAAAATCAACAGCATGGATGTTTAAGTCTTACTCCTTGAGTCAAAAGATCCCTTCCCATATATATATATGGAAAAAACATTTATTCTTTTAAAGGATATAAACTTATATCATTTTAGATCTAACCGTTGATTTTTGTCCATCAACGGTTATAATCTATTGGGTCAAACTTAATGGGCCAAATTTATTATTAATTAATTAATAATTTTGATCTAATAAATTATAACCGTTGATGGACGGAAATCAATAGTTAGGATCTAAAATGATATAAGCTTATATATTTTAAAATGACAGATGTTATTCCCTATATATATATATATATATATGTGTGTGTGTGTGTGTTAAAAACGTTACATTGCAGTTATAATACGACGTATAAACTTAAGGGTGGGAAGAACCGTCGCTTCTGAAAATCGGTGTCAGTTTTTTATTTATTTATAAATGAAAAAAATGTTTGTCATTTTAAATGACAGAAAGTTATGTCATTTTAAGAGAGATACAGACACAGAAAATTTGAATTTTAAATTATAAAAAACCACTCACTTTCTCTCTCCCTTGATTTCTGTTTTTCTGTGTTTATCTCTCTCCTAACATGACATAACTTATGTCATTTAAAATAACAAACACCAAACCCTTAAAGTATGGGAAAAATGTTTGTCATTTTAAATGACATAAAATTATGTCATTTTAATAGAGAGATAGACACAGAAAACAAAATTTATTTGAATTTTAAATTAAAAAAAATCACTCACTTTCTCTCTCTCATGATTTCTATTTTTCTGTGTCTATCTCTCTCTTAAAATGACATAACTTATGTCATTTAAAATGACAAACACCAAACCGATAAAGTATTCATACAAAAATACCCACGTAAGCACGTGTAACAATTGATAGGAGTTATTTCATGCATTTGAATGACAATGAGGGTTAATACAATTTTTTGACGTATAACATAACTTTTTTTTTTTTGGGTAGATGTACAACATGACTTTTTGTTGGTTGAAGGATAACACAAATAGTTTTGTGCTCCATATAGTTTGATAGGCATAATATTCTAATATTATTTAATTATTTTCACACTTTAATTTTATTTATAATTTATTGATAATGTTAATATTTTTAATTATATTTTATATTTATTATAAAATTACAAATAAAAAATATATTTTGGGAGATGATGTAATATATTAATTGTGATAGAGGTCGATCGATAGTTTATCTATTTTATGAAGTAAATAAATATAAAAAAAATATAATTTTTTAATAAGGTGTTTTCATATGTTATTTTATTTAACAAATTCGATTTCTAATCAACTATATTCTCATAAGTAAATTATTTAAATAATATCACAAGTCAAAATTAAACACTTTTTACTGAAAACATAAATTTATATTTTTTTCACTTATTATTTTCATGTAAAATAATTTTATTAGATTAATCTTTTCATATATATCTGATATTTTTAAACTTGCTTTAAAGCGATAATTTGCAGGATTTCGAAATATGTTTCTCATTCGTGCGGTAATAATATGATCATTGTTTTTTTTTCTTATTTACCAAAATAAATCGAGTGGATTGAAATTTTAGACCAATAGAGAAAAAAATAATAAATAGTCAAATTATTATTATTGATAATAAATTTAATATTTTTTAATTTTTAAGGATTCAAAAATATTTTACAAGACAATTCAGAATTATTTATGATTTTAAATATTATTTGACTTAATAAATTTAATAACAATTTCAATTTGATGTTAATCTGTGCAATATTTATTCAAATAAATGAGGCATTTATTTGAGTAAATATCAAGTGGCAAATGGAGTCACGATGTGTAAAATTTAACTTTAAGGCGGAATTCATATGATCAATTTTTGTCAAAAAGAACAAATTGGTACATAAATTGGAAACTTTAATATATTGATAAATATTTTTTAAAAGATGAGTAATTTGGCCTATCTCCAAAATTTTGGAGATCTATAATGTCCCTTAAATTACTTGATGGGTCCCTTGATTTGTTAAAAAGTAATGGACATAATAACAAAAAAAAAAAAGTGTACTTTTTTTATTTTATTGTTGTTCAAATACTATTTGGACTAAACATATGGCCACTCAAGAGTCAGAATAAATTTCTAAATTTTTATTATTGATTTGAACCCATACTAAGTGGCATTAAGGGTCCAGTCCAACAATATATCAGATGCCTGAAGATATAGATTTAGTGAGTAAGAAAACTCGTATATATATATCACAGTGACACGTGTACACGATATCGAGAAGACACAACTAGACTGACAGCAACATATGACTCATAATTAAGGGTGCTAAATAAATCAGGAGTCTTTGTCTCGGCTCGTGAAGGCCTGAGCTTACATGTCTACAATTGGTTGTTGGGACAAGCTTGGACTTTTATAAAAGCTCGTTTAATAAAAAGGCCTCAGGCTCTACTTCAAAAGCTTGACCTTAAAGCTTCTGAGGCTGGTCTAGTATATTATTTCTTATTTATATTTTAATTTTTTATACTACTTGTAATAGCCATCTCTTGCTCCTCAATCCATTTCACTCCATTTTATTGATTAAACAGACTTTTTGAATGATTTTATTCTATATTATGGTTTTTGGATATAAATTGAATTTATGAATATTTATGGAATTACTAGGGTTGTTGATTGTATATTCTGTTTGGATAAATTTTTGTTGTCTTATTTTTTTAAAACAGGCAAACATGCTAAACAAGGTTTTTATTTATTTTTTATTTTTTTTGATAACACAAGGTTTTTATTTTTTGTAAATAAGTCAGGCCACAGGTCGATAGTTATATTTATAACAAGTAACATGCTTAGTTAGGCTGACACATTTAAACATAGACTTAGTCTTTTAAGATCAAAGCTCGGCTCGACTCGGCCCGTTAATACTCTTACTCATAATCCTCCTTAATAGCTAATAGCAAGTGACAAACATGAGGTTCAATAGGTATCCCACAGGCCATGTAGGCTGTCTAAGCCACTACAACCAACCAATTAGAGACATGCCGCCATACTAAGGCTACATAGGAAGGCAACAAGTAGGTCATGTGGCTAGTATAAAAGAGAGGCTCAAAAACTCATGTATGATTATCTTCTTCCAAATTAATTAAGCTTATCACTCAAATACTGACTTGAGTATAGAAGTATCTTATAAGTACTTTTCCCCATCTGTCCCTAATAAAAACACATCAATGACATCAAGATCATCCCAAGTGACAAAGTCCCACCAGTAACTAACTTGGACCAGACTCAACCGCGTGAGGTCAGTCCCAACTCATCTTGGATTGATCAGTTATATACAAAATTAAGTTATAAAATCTTGTTAAGAGGAAAAGAAACCAACAATTCATGTCATTTTATTGTCTCACATTTATTGTGTGCAAAATAATACACAACACTAAGGATACTATAATAAATATTAATTTATTTTATTCATGAATATCACTAAATATGTAATCTTTTTTATGTAGGTTATGAAATAAGTAACAACCCAAAAAATTTCGTGTGCTTCAACCACTTATGATGTACCATTTTGTTTATATTGTCCTTCAATATGCATCAAATGCAACATTGTTTGGTATTTATACTATTTTAACTTGTATTAGGCTGTTAAAAAACCGAAGCATCATTAATGACGATATACAGGCATGGCTAGGGACGGCCCATCATTATTAACCCTTTGTCTGTGCAATCAAAACAAAAACCCGACAAGCAATTTATAGGGTTGTTCTATCTTTTACAATCAATTTATAGTATGAAGTTATTTTGTCACGGTCAAACATATAGAGAGAAGAAAAACAAAAATGGATAAATTTCTGAGGATAATAGCTTGGTCCACCTTATGTAGTGTATAGTAGCTAACAATTACAAACTGCCTTGTCTTTGATAAACTAACTTGCTTTTGGCTACCTCCATAAATACTCCAGATAATTCTTGCTTCTATATATTAGAGAAAAAAAATTTAATTCTATTTTAATAAATATTTCAATAATCTTTTTAATTATCCTAAGAGAATATATTAAAAGTAGTTTGGCTTTTCAAAATATTAAATATTTTTGCATTTTCATTTAATAATTTTTCACTATTAAAAAAATTGGTATTAAGGAAGGAAAAATTTTGTCCCTAATTTAATTAGGAACGAAATTTGATACAAAAAAATTTTCGTCCCTAAATAGCTCCTAACTAATGTTTTGGGTAAGGGTATTCGCGATCTGGATTGGATTGATTTTCAAGCAAAAATTATCTGATTGAATCCATTCAATTTGATTATTTAATAATCCATTCGATTTGGATGTTTTTTTTAAATTTGATCCAATCCGATCCAATTTTATTCGGTTTAGATTGAATCAGTTTTCAATTTTTCGAACAGCCTAAAATTTCAGTCATACAAATTACAAGCAATATAAAAAAAAAAGTCATTCAAAGTTATAAACCACTGAAAAATTTAAGTTTTCAAACTAAAACAAGTGTTGAAACTCGTGAAGAG